GTTGATCGCCAATAGTGGTGATAGTTGAGGGTCTCCGACGGGTAAGGCGTTGGGTCGCCGATATTGGTGACGAGAAAAAATATTATTGGTGTGTGTATGTGGCCTGTTAGGGGTCGAGAGATAAAAAGTTCATTGATGGTCGCCGATATTTATGACAGATGTGAATATTTGTACGGTTGAGTGGCGTAGCCCGGGTCGAGGGGGTGATGTCGGAGGACGGTCACATCTAGCATGAGTGACACTTAAAATACTGGAGGATAGGTATTAATCTTGTGTAGTTAAATGGTAGTAAGAAAGTGTGACTTAGGCTACGAAAAAGGGAAACATATAAAAATGGGATTTTAAATTGGTTTGCATATGATATTTGTAATTTAATTTTTACTGTATTGAACTATATGTGTTCACGCTTTATTATTCACGGATGAAGTAGGGATGGAGTCGGGATCGGAGTTGCTAGAATCTGAGTCTAGTGTATAGAGCAACAGTGCAAGGATTTCTACTAGTAGAATTGAATGTGTAAAAAGTTAGTAGTAATGTAGGTTATGTGTCTGCTGGGGATGTATTAGGTTGTATTTCACTGTAATGTTATATTTATGGTTGAAGGTTTATATTTGACATTGAGCAATAGATTGTGATAGTTTTTTTTCTATGTGTGCGACTGATTTGGAATGAATTTTTTAATATTTGGCCATTGAACTATTTGAGACTATGCTGTTAAAAAAAAAAAAAGATGTTACACTCAATATCTTTATATATATATATATATAGTTATATAGCATGCGAATAGGCTTAATCCATTATTAGACTAATTATTCCTCGTCAATATCTTCTCAATAAAATATTTTCAGGTCTAAAAATCAATGAGGGATCAGGTTTATAATTGATATAATGGTTAATAATATATATACATATATGTATACGTTATTTCAGGCCTCATTACTAATTATTTGTACAATCTTATGCATAGGGTAATCAAATAGATTAATTATTATAAATTTTTTGAAAGTCATTAATTAATAAGGTATTAATGTTAATAATAACACCACATAGATAATATTTAAATTAGGACATACATATAAACACATACCAACTCAAATTAATTACTTCTTGTGGAAGAAAGAATTTATTACCTACTAATCTTAACAGTATTAATTAAATGAATATATTTAGAAAGAGGATTATCACATAAAATTCTTAATTATTATTGTTATTATTAATTTATAGTAATTTCCCTTTATTTAAAAATTCAATTCAAGATTTATGTCCAGGGGAGATATGTATTTATTGTTATCTGCATCTACTCAATTTATTGTTATATGTATTTATATTATGTTATGTACTTTATTTTCTCAGCTGTTATTATTATTTTTATTTGATAAAAATTAATAATTTAAAAATATATTAACACTTATTAAAACTTAAATGTACAAGTCATCAAGAGGGATTAATTAATTAAAAAAATATAAATTATTAATAAAAATTTAGATATATGACAACTATATACTAATAATAACATAACATATTAATAGAAATATATGAAATGCAAAAATAACAACTCTATGGATACTATTATAATTATCTCTAATATTAATTTTTTAGGTAATAAAATTTAATATTAATATTATGTATAATTAAAAATATTTGTTTTCATAATATATACGATAATTGTTAAAATGAAAATAATTTATTTTTTAAAATAATAGAAGAAAATTGCCTCATATTATTTTTAAAATTATAATTTATAAATAAAATAAAAATAAATTGTCAAAGCATTTGATTACATTTATTTTTTAATCACAATCAAGTTAATCACATGAATTAATTGAGTAGTATTTTTATAATTTACTTATCGGTAATTATAAAATAAAATCATATAATAATTTTAGTAGTATTTTTTTGTTTATCTAATTTGTTCATATAATTCTACCAACATATTAGTAAAATAATTTTTCAATTTCACTGAAAGAAAGGTTATAAATCGGTCACTTTTAAATTAAAATACACATATTTTTAATGGAATTTAAACTCATAATCTTTAAATAAAATATAAATATCTTAATTATTAAAATATTATATTATTAATAAATAAAATATACATTTATTTTTAAGAATATCTAAACTATGATATTTTTAGTTAACAACACATAGGAGCCATTTTAAAATGCTTCCTTCACAGGAAAGCAAAAAAGATAGGATTTCATCATTTGCCCAGAATTCTGCAAGAAATGAAATCTTTTTCACTCTCTCAAGAAATGAGAACTTTTCTCAGGAACAAAACTGATATGCATATCAAGAAGTCATGCATATGCCTGCAATAACTAAGGGAGATTGCCAGCATAAACTATATAATCTATACACTTTCATTCAGGCTATATGTATATTTACATATATATAATTCATAGATATTCCCTTACTACACTCTTCCAACACAAATACATCGATCAAGACACTAACACTAATAATTCCTTCTCTTTCCTACATATATCAATCATTTCTTGGTGCAGAACCCGCTTGAGGTTGAATATTATCACACTGTTTAAACATTTTCTTGATTGCTTCCTCCTTCTCATCAATGAAATCAAAAAAGTTATATATGACCTGAGAACAGTGCATACTTGTCGTGTTTGAAGATGAAGAAGAAACTTCCATCTGCCTTTTCTTGTATCGGACATATTGGCGAACCGCTCTCAGTAAAAACACTAAAAATGCAAGGAGAGTAAAGGCACCACACCACAGGTATAGCCCCCAAAAGCTGCTCATGTGCAGTTGGTTAGGCTCTGAGTTCCTCCTCCTATCTCCAGGGCAACCCATCTTACAGAACCATTTCTTGTGGATTTCTTGAAGCTTTCCACTCTCCGAGAGTTTCAGTATTGCTGTAGACATGTCAACAGCAAGTGGAGAGCCTTTTTGGAAAGCCTGCAATGTTGAATTCATCAGAAATTGCTAGGAAAAGATGTTACAGAAGAAAAATGCACATGTGCTATTATGTGAAATCATATGCATTAACTTTCTAAGTTTCCTTGTAGATGAAGCTACTTACGAATCCCCATCCACTCCTTGTAAATGGTTGTCCAATAATTCCAAAATCAGTTCTTTTCGATAAAAACAACTCCACGTATGTAAGCTCATCAATAATAGCAGCCACCCCACCATTATTTGGACCTTGTCGAAGAGCTCTTTCATACTCTTCTGGGGAGCCAAGAGCAACCAGTCTTGAGCGTTTAATGTAAAGAGAGTCTGACAGATAGCCATAAGCAAATGATCCCACTTGATATCCAATGGGCCAATCATTTGCAATCAAGCTGTCTATTCCAGTGATGGGTGAAGATAGTTGTTGAACTGTGAGAATCGAAGTCAAGCTGGCTGTATAGCTCGAGGTTATCACCATTAATAGGAAAAGCCATACAACCATTACCAACCGTCCAAGTGGGCTGACAGTATCTTCTTCTGCAAAAAATTTGACAAATCATCAACTTTAGACTAATTGGATCATAAAATTATGATACTTCAGACCATAAATTAAGCGCAATTAGAACAATAACTAAAGTCTTGGGATCTTCAGCCCTTAAAATGATTTCCTTTTTCCATGCTCTTAGTCTAATCTATCTTGCTTTGAAACACAGCTTCTTGAAAATGATCAAGATTTCTACTAAGCTGATTGAGCCAGTACAAAGACATGCTAAATCGCTTCACTTCCATTATTTTCAGTTCGAGATGCTTTATTCAGAATTAAACAACTTCAGCAGAATTAGACCAAGTAGAGTACTTGAAGATTTCAAGGGCAGATATGCAAGTCTTCCACAAATATTATATATGCTAGGATGGAAGAAGGTACATTACTTACTGTGTTGATTGTTAGATTCACCAGAGCATTTAATTTTTTCTTTGAATATGTACAGTGTTAGGTAACAAATATAGGATCAGTCTCTAGTTGATTATACGCATTTCCAAACAATTCTCTGTTAATAACATATACAGATGCATACAGTTTTTTCTTTGAGAGGAAAGATTTGTGTATATGCTCGTGTACATATGCATTATTAAAGAAAGAGTAAGCTAAAACTATAAAAGCTGTAAAGAATTCCTTACGATTTGTCTTAAAAAGTGTCGAGAAGCTAAACCTGCAATGCAGAGAAATGGGTCGAGGTTAGAGGCGTCTTAAGCATGCAATGACATCAGATGCAGCTGTAACATCCGGGTCTAGAAATTAGACCCGAGATAATCATATTATGATAGTAATAATTTAGAAAAATTTTAATTTTAATTTTTAATTAATATTTGAAGAAACATATATATTTTGAGTATATTTAAAAATAATTTTAAAAAATTATGAATAAATTAAAATAAAAAAATATATATTTGAAAAGAAATATGAAAAATTGAGGCAAAAGTGAAAATAATGAAAATTTGGCCACGTGGACTGTCACTTCGGCAGCGCGGCCAGTCGCCATGCGTCGCATGGCAGACACGCAAACATGCGTCCACGCGGGCGATCCGCATGCCAACGGATCCAACGGCCTAGATCTCCTCCCGCACGCACGGACAACCCAAATCCGTTTCTTCTTCAAGTGCGATCGAATGACCAGATTTAATCTGATCGTGCGACCCATATTAGTTTCCCAAATAAGAGCGATCCGATAGTTAGGAGTGGGCCACGTGTTCTTGCACGGACGGCCCAGATCGACGTGGAGAGAGTATTTAAACATCACTTCCCAGAAAATCCTAACTCTGGCCGCACCTGACCCCGCTGGAGAAGAAGATGAAGGTGGCCGGAAGAAAAGCCGACCACCGTCGCTGCCACAATGGAGCCACCGCCGACACTGGAAATGTGAGTTTTTCCTCCTTTCGCTTCAGAATTCGATTCTAAGTATCCCCACACCCATATCGACACCGAAAAAGCCAAAAGGGAAGCCAGAAATCGAGAGCGGAGCTCGGTCAAGCCGCTGCAACCGTAGCCCAAAATCGCTCCGGTGAGCCCGATCTCGCTTCCCGTTTCCTTCCATTTTCCATTTATTGAATCTCTAACCCTTTTCTGGTGCAGGACGACCGAAGAAAATCCCCGACCGTGAGAGAGGAATGGCGGAGCCGCCGCACTGGAAAACTACCCCGCCGGTAATGCTTTGGTTTTTTTCCTTTTCCAGCCAACAGAGGCTACATGACCTCGTCTTTTACAGGTTTTTGCACAAAATCGGCCGAAACCAGCAAGACCGAGAGGAGAAACCGCCATGCCGAAACCCTAAACCGGCCAGAAAATTTCAAAACCCTTATTTTGATTTTTTTGAGTATTTCGGGAAGTGTAGTGGAAAAGGCGATATTTCAAATATCGATCCGAGGTAAAAATCCCTCACCATTTTCTCCCGTTACAGTTAGTTAAAACTTGATAAATAATGACGATGTAAATTATAAATATTAGAAATTCCTAATTAATTAAATACAGATTACCAGTGGAGCCGGTAACTGATCAGTACGAAATTACTTATTTTATCTATACCGTTCATTTATTGCGAGATTGTTATTGTTTACTTACCGCATACACTTTAATTTATAGGTTTATTTGCTTTCTCGTTTATTGACTTACTTAACCGTTTATCCATATCTGTTGATTAGTTTGAAATAAATGTCCTAATCACGTTTTTCTTAATTGTTAAAGTATCAAT